TAAGTCGTTTCTTCTCAGGATAGGACTGTTACCATCCAATCTCGTGCAAGAAATCTGGAACTCACGCTAGGCAACCTCTACTCATGCACCTTCACTTTCAGAGACATTTTACAAGTGTTGTCGCCCCACTAACCCTCGCATCTCTGTCTTTCAGAGCCCCTCTCACAGGCAAGACCTCACTGTGCTTTCTCCAGGGTTTCCTCCTCTCCCAGCCACCAAAATCACCGTAACCCAGCCCAGTCTCGACTTTGCTATCACAATGATCTCAAAGAAGCCATTCTGACTGTATCTTTGTCTCTTTATGAATTTGTAAAAACCTCCTGCCTCAGTGATTCTTTGGGTATAGACATCAGGCACAGATTCTGGCAAATGTAAGCCAAAAATAATTCATTAGAAGAATATTGGTGTTTGTGAAATTAAGGAAAACTGCATGATTATGGACTTGGTTAGTGGCTCGTGATTAATTTCAGGGGCACTGGGATCTGAATGACTTGGTCTACTGGTCAGCTGGCTGGCGAGTCAGTCTGCGGGGAAGAGGGTCTGCCTTGGCTTAGGTCCTCTGCAGCTTCCAAGCCTGGCGAAGGCAGGGGCCCAAAGGTCTTCCTGGGTTGGCAGGAGATGGGAGAAGAGGAGGCTCTGGAGGAACTGTGCACTGTTACAGCCGAAATGAGTCATCTGGAGAACCAAAACAATCGATTTTTCTTCATCCCTTATTTTTTAAAGTTTGGTTCTCTCTTGGTACGTTCTTGTTATCCAAGGTCTAAAGTTATCTGGCCTTTGCTAGCTTTTCAGAAATGCTCTGTGCTATACAGATATCCCCTGCTTAACGATGGAGCTCATTCCGGTGATGAGGCTGGTAAACGGTTTGTCGTTAAGTGAGGAGTTGAACATAGTACGTGCATTATAACATTGTGACAGAACATAAAACTACAGTACTGCGCTCTACAGTACAACCAGCAAGAATCAGAGTACTGTATCAACAAGGTGGACTGAAAAAAAAAAAGACAGTGAAGCTCTATAAATAAGATATTTGAACTATACCAAAAAAATAGGCTATAAGTCTGAATGATCATTAAACAGGGAGGTTGTTAAATGGTGAATATCTGTATTGTGTTTTTCCATTCACAAATTATGTTTCCTTTACATGGCAAATATTTACTCCTTTTTCAAGACTCAGTTGAAATGTCTCTTCCTGGTGTATCTTCTCTAATGCTACCAGCAGGGACTGAACAGTTTCTCCTCTGTGCTCTCGTGAAGCCCTTTATGCAATCTCTGGTAAGACTATAGAAGCTCATTTCAGTGATCTCTTTACATATTGTTGTCCTTGTATATAGCAGGTTGGAACTGAAGGATTAGGACCAGGTTTCATTGATCTGTGTTCCTCCAGAACACAGCATCATATTTGGAATTCAACGCATGTGTTTTGAATAGAAGAATAAATGAATGAAATCACTTTTCTCCAACTAGCATATGCTAAGGAAGAGGTAGCCGGGTGAGGCCTTACCTTCAAGCTCTTCTTGTGAAATAAAACTTTAATTAAAAATGTATTAGCTCTAGAAATTATGCTATTCCATTCTCCACTGTTTTCCATTTAAAAATATTGAAATTAGAATTTTCATGTGCAAATTTTGTTTTTATTCATGTGCAGAACGTTTTTCCCTAATAACTTTTACTGTTGACTTTTTCCCTGTCATAGTCTTTTGCAGTGGTCTCGGGTGGGAAGGGAGATGAGACTTGGGTTAGTACCTTCCTTCCTTTTTTCCAGGCTTAAATAGATGCAGCATCTTAGTCCATTGGATGTTTTCTTTGGTTCTTGAGAGGCCAAATATCCTCTCTAAGCTCTCTGTATTTGACAGTGTCAGATTGCCAAGCCGGAGTGTTCTGTGTTGGAAAATGCACAGATGAAAGGCTTTGAAAAAATATGAGGGAATTAGAATCCAAGTACTTGTTTACTACTAAGGAGAGGTTTTTGCTCAATAGGCCTTGAGCAAAACTGCTAAGGCTGGGACAGAGGCCAGCCTCCTGCACCAGGATTGCATGGGGAGCTGGTGAAAGGCCCTCTTTTTTGGTTCAGGGGTCTGTGCAGTTTTAAATTTCTTCAACTTTCTCAGCAATGTTTGTTTAGAGACCAAAACTGCATTAACTGGCAAACTTCCACAGAAGATCAGTCTCACCTGAGCACTTTTATAGTACACAGCCGAGCGGTCCAGAGCCCCACTACCCTTCCCTCACCCTCTACCTGTGTCTCGCCCACCTGCAGGGTCCTGGGTCGGAAAAGGTCATGGAAAATTACCCATGCCACAGGCTCCAGTCCAGTTCCTGAGCAGATGGCCTGGTAAATATTCAGATGGCAAGATGGCCAGGGAGACATTCCCTGAGCTCCTGTCACCTCCGTGTGTGACTTGGCTTAGCCATGTGAGCCTCAGTCTTCCAATTGTAACATTTAAAATAGGGGCAGCGGCTACCATTGTGCCACTGTAGACTGTTATAAGGATCATGAGATTCCGCACACAAACACGCTGGCACTGAGCACAGTATGTGTACGTATGACACAGATCTATATGTGTGTAAACGTAGAATAGATAGATAGATGTAATCTCCTCCACGATAGTAGCATCTTTTGTGTTTGTTTGGTTGTCTGTTTAGGTTTTTTGGAGACAGAAACTCGCTATGTAACCCAGGCTGGTTTTGAACTCATGGAAATCCTCCTGCTTTGGTCTTGTGAGTCCAGGGATTACAGGCATGCATCACCATGCCTAGTGAAAGAAATACTTTTTATAGTTGGAGAAGTTTATTTAGTCTTATTTAAATCTTCTTTTAAAAATTTCTATTATCCTTGTTGAGTAGAAGTTAGAAAGTAGCTTCAGATAATCAATGGATGGCCCAGTGTGCGGGGATAGAGTGACTGTGCTTTTATCCAGTCTGCTCTGGCCTTTGCCCCCTGCTCCATCAGTTCTTGCTGTCTCATGAGACCATCCTAGACATCTTCTCAAGGCAGAGGGCTCCAACTTTGAAGTCTAAACATAGGTTAATATTACTTACATTTGTCCACCAAGGAACATTTGCTACCTAAGGAAGTTTTTGCAGAATTCATAATTCAAAATAGTAAATCTTGAATGAAAGAATTGAAGCCAGGCGTTTAAACTGCTTCCAACAAACTGACCCTCCTTGTCTGGCTCTCTCCGAACACTGCTCTATCATACCCTCACAAAGGTATGGTTTATAGTTCACTGCCTCTGTCTTTAGAGGAGTTTTTTCTTAGAACCTAATTAATCATTGTTCACAGATATCCAGCAATTTCAGGGAAACTGCAAATACCCCCACCCAGCTGTTTTTTTTGTTTTTGTTTCTGCATTGGAAATCTAACTCACGACCTTGTGCTTGTCAGGCACAACCTGGCACTGTGCCTAAGCTACATCCCCGGTTTCAATCCTTTTTGTTTGTTTGGTGGGAGGTTAGGAAGTAGCCGATTGGGGAGCACTACTGAGATCTCTTTGCTGCTGATTGGCTGCTGTCTTGTAACCCATCTAGGGCAGATGCACCAGCATCCTGTATCATAATGGGGTGCTGTAAGTTGTAACTATCTCCAGTGTTCTCAGTTTTGTTCTTCTTAAAGCCCTAAATCCCTAAGATGCCACCAAAATGTCCTGAACCCTCTAAGGATTCACTAAATTAAATTGCATAACTGTGAGAAGCAGCATATTTAGGGTTTAAACTATAAAAATAGGCATTTTAAGACATTTTTCCAACATATGTGAAACTTGCAGCTCTTCACAATTCACAGGTTGTGAAATTGGCGTGCACTGTATTGCAGAAGGGGTGATATCATGTCCAAACAAAACACAGACCTGGGAAACTGGGGTTGGTGGAGCACAATGATAACCCTTTCCAGTTCACACTTTACATATTCAGATGCACCTGAAAGCTGCTGATTACAAACATATCTAGAACTGCCCCAACCTCTTTTCACAACACCTAGCTCAGATTTTCCTGCTAGGTAGGTTGGTTAACTTTATTCTCCTCACGCAGAATCAGGAAGCTGCTGATTCCTTCCACGGATCCTTAGTGATGGGGCAGCAGAAGCAACCCCGTGAAGAGAAGCAGCTGTGCTTTCTTCTCCTCTAGGGTCTGAGCTCAGTGGTCGGTGGAAGAAGAGTGGTGCATTGCATTCTGACCTTTCTAGTCACACATGAGCACACTCACGAGGTGTGAGGGAACGCTCCAGTGGATGTGTGCTGCTGTCCTTCATTAATACCCCCAAGTAGCCCCTTACTGAAGGTCTGTCTCATGAAACTGCATATAAATCCATGGTGCAGACAGCATACATATTTCATTTTTTCTTGACTTATCAGGTCATTTTAAAAATTGGCATGTTTAAGAAGGAATCATCACAATGATATTATTAACATTTTAGTCAGATGAAAACAAAGTTTTGGGTATCCCGGGATGCTTCAGAACTCTATCCTTAGTCAGTGAATGCCAATATTTGGACAATGCAGTATCTCTTGTTATTTCTAAGCTGCTGGACAAAAGCTCCCTGTATCAAGAGCTCCCCTCTCAGTGTATATAATAGTTGTAGAACTTGTGTTAAATATGTCAGCTATAGTGTGAAGTTGCCTTACAGAAATTTTTAAATGTTCTCTAGTTCAGAGAGTGCAATCCACGTAAGCAAGACATGCTAGTCAGCAGACGTACTTATCAAAGTCCCTATCGGCAAGTGAAATGAGGATTTTGTCAATTTTTTCCACTGTGTGCCATTGTGTGGTTGTGGGTATTATCCAGCGGCTGGGAGTGTGACTTCCAAACATAACAACTGTTTGAGGTGTGGCTTCAAGGCTGCTTCTCAAAAGCCACATTTGTCCAGCCAATGAGTTTTTTGGCTATGACTCCTCAAACCACAGGAAATAGGATAAAGAGATAGATAGATAGGAACACATTAAACTAACATCATCTGCACTTACAAAGAAACAATCAACAGAGTACACAGAAAATCTGCAGAATGGGAGAAAACATTAGTAAACCATATATTTGGTAAGGGATTCATATAGAAACACAAAAGGAACTGGGCTAAGTCAACAGGAAGAAAAAAAATCCTACTTATAATTGAGCAAAACACAATAGACTTTTCTCAAAAGACAACATGCAAATGGCCAACAAATATATAAAACAATGTCCAACATTACCAGTCATCAGGACAATTCAAGTTAAAAACATTACCTCATCTCTGGAAGAATGTCTATGACCAAAACTTAACAAATATAGATTAAAATATGGATAAAATGGAAACTTTGACACTTTTATGTTGTTGGTGGGAATGTAAATTAGAATAGTCATTTTTGAAAACAATATTGAGGTTCCACAAAAAACTAAAGACATAGCTACTAAGTGATCTAGGAATCTTACTGAAAGGGATATAGGATTATCTATCTATCTATCTATCTATCTATCTATCTATCTATCTATCTATCACCAGTCTGTCCTAGCTCCAGGTATATATTCAAAAGATATACACTCATTGCACTGAAGACATCGGTTTATCGCAGCACTGTTCACAAAGCTGAGTTATGAAATCAACCATTGTGCCATCAGCGCATGAACGGAGAAGGAAAATGTTCCATCTACACAGTGAGATACTAGGCAGTATTAAAAGGAAGGAATTCTTTCCCTTTGTGTCAGCCCGAGTGAATCTGGGGATATTATCTCAAGTGAAGTAGACACTGAAGTAAAAGCCCTGTGTGGTATGATTTACGTGTGCACTGTGAACAAGCACAATTTGAAAGAACGGAGTGAAAATGGTGATTGTCAGAGGCTGGGCTGGACTGGGAAACTGGGGAGATGTTGGTCAGGACACAAAGTCTCAGTGAGACGAGAAGGAGGAGCTCAAAGATGCATTTCGCTTCACAGTAGCTATAATTAACAGTATATTGGATGCATCAGAAGTCCTGAGAGCAGATTTTTAAGTATTCTAATCACAAAGGAAATGAAAAATACATGCAATGCACATATCAAGTAGCTTGATTTAGCTATTCTATGATGTAAAATATATACAGTGTACATGTTTTAAAATCCATCATACAGTTGTAAGTCTACCCAATTTTTTCTTGTCCGATAGATAGATGATAGATATGTAGCTAGTTAGAGGGAAGTTGCCCAGGGGCTGAGGAGGCTGTCAGTTCTCAAGGCGAAAGGTGGAAACATCCTACATATATTATTAGGAAGGGAAGGAAAGGTGTCCCAGAGTGAGCAGATACTTTGGTGCACTTATATGAAAAATGACAAGAAAATTAGAAGAGAACAAAATCATAGAACGAATTTCTAGGTAAGGTTAAGCTTAATGATTAAATGATTACCTTTATTTAGCACATGTGATATGCTAAGTATTTTGTGTGATCTCATTAAGTCCCCCATCTCGTTTATAATGCTATCTAAATTATTTGATACTTTCATCCAAATTTTACAGATGCAGAAACTCAGGCATTGAGGTAGGCAAGTTATTTTAAGAGCCATGCTCACAGTCAGTGTTAGAAGCAGGATGTGGATTCCACTAGTGTAATTCTTCTGCTCCCATCATTTCTTCCCAGCTACACTGACAATAATCGGTGAATAAAAATAGTATGTGCATAAAATGTACAACTTCATAAATCAACATATACATAGTGGAATAATCACCATGACCAAGGAAGTGAACCTCCCCTCCCACAGCTGACTTGCTTTCCCACCCTTCTTATGCCTCCTGTAGTACACTTCGGATCACCCTCTCAGGGTGCTGCAGAAGACTTTCATACTGCAAAGATGGACACGTGTCCATGGGCGGGACGCTAGGAGGTCACTGGTAAAGGTAACTGAGGACATAAGCAGTGTTTTGCAGTGGTCAGTGATAAAGTAGATGGCAGGGAACAGAGGCATGTGTTAGTCCCTGGACGGAAAAGACAAGGGAGCTGTGACACAAAGTGACACAAAGATGATGCAGAACTGAAAAATACAGACTTACAAGTTATATCATGCGAGGGAGGTGCTCGCCATAAGCGGCATAGCCAGGATCAAAGTATGAGTGGGCAGGAAATGGGGACGAGGTCAGGGGAAAAGTGTGGAGATTTGAATAACCTTAGAAAAGACTCTTCGTTTAGAGAAAATAAGGAAAACCAAAGAAATAAGTGGTGATCCCAAATAAGTTCATAGAGCCAATTAAATAGCACTTAGGGACCAGTGTCCGTGATTCCGATTGCTGAGACGCCTGGCCACTGTTGCTGATTCATCTGCTGGTTGCTTATCCCCTGTCGCAGGGGGTTATTGTGGTTAATAAATAAATACAGCTGAGGAAAACTCACTGCCAAGGGAGGCTCTGCAGAAATACTGAAGGTGTCTCGACTTTGCATTTGCTTCCCAGCTCCTTCTCCAAACCTCTTAGCGGGCAGAACTGACTTTTCTTGGCCGTCGTCCGCCTCCAGACTGCCGGTTCGCACTGGCACTGGGCAGGTGCTCAGTAGAGAGAACTAAGGTCATCCTCGGGGAGCTTCTAGGTGAATAGGGCTCTTCTGAGCCTTGAAGTCAAAATGCTCCTGGTGGTCGGTGCAGATGGGAAGTCAAGCCAGTGTGCACAGGGATGACCTAGAGCTGCGGGGACAGGAATGGCAGAGCCGCGGCCACTGCAGGGAAGCCTGGGTTCAGTCACTGTCCAAGAAGGAAATGCGTTAGTGCAGTTTTGACTTTGGAATGTCCTGCTCTTTGCCAGTGGTGATCACAGCCTTCACACTTATACCAGGGAGGTTTTGATTTAGGAATCTGGTCTGTGAGGGGGACAGTCAATGCATCATCTATGCATCAGACTTTAGATGCATGTTTTGATGCAATTCTATTCACATCATAAAAAATGTAAATTTTTAACTCTGAAGGAATCACAATAGTCTGTTTTTCATACTTGCATTATCTTGGGCAAACACTGAAATTCTGGATTAATGTTTAACTCTAAGAGTGTTATTCTCAGTTTAAGCAAAGGATCAGTTTCAGGGCTCAGCCTCAGGGGTCTTGATGATCAGGCTTCAGGCTCCCAGGAGAAGCCTCCTACACCACGGGTGACCGGATACAGTCGACAGAGGGAACAGTCCCCAAGCTCAGACAATGTGGATTGGGTATAAAATCTTAGTCTTTTCTTATCTGACTGTGGACATTTGCATGGAGAAGCATTATTTATCTCAAGGAGAAGTGGACCAAGGATCTTCCTTCGCTAGGAATCGCACCATTTTGGAAGGTGTTCGATTCAAAAGAGCCACTTACCAAGGACAGTACTGTAGGAGGTTTGGCTGCTGTGAAGGCAGAAATGATGACTGTGTCACCCGGTTCTACGAGGCAAACGCATGGTGTTACTGTGACAGATTCTGTGAGAAGGAAAATTCGGATTGCTGCCCTGATTACAAGTCCTTCTGCCGTGAAGAGAGAAGGTGGCCTCCTCCCCCACAGCCATCGGACATAAAAGGTAGGCCTGGGGATGTGTCCCCGTTCATAGCAAGACCTGCTGGCTCCTTCTCCCTCCCTCCCTCCCTTCGTTCCTGGTTCCTGTCTTTTTCTTCTTCCCCTCCCTTCCCCTCTCCTCTCCACTCCTCTTTTCATCTGTGCTCTCCTCTCCTCCCCTTTCCTCCCCACCTTCAGTGACATGCAAATGATCACTGTGGTTGCCAAGGTAAATGCCTTTGGGTTTTTAAAGTGCTTAACATGCTCAGATGCTTAGTATCTAAACCAAGGTGGCAGCTTCAGGACAGCCCAGGTATAATAGCAATGACTGCTGGTCTGGACCCTGTTTTGAGAACTCTTTCAATTTATATAAGGATTAAAACTCCTGTTTCCTCATAAAATGTATCGACATCAGGATTATCAAGCTATTATGAGTGAACCCCAGTAGGAGCCTCATGAAAGCTACAAGGCCGATGATATACAGACTCTTGAGACATTTTAGTCACTTTATGGTGCTCCTTGTCCTCTCCCATCACAACCTGTGGTATTAGTAATGCCATTAAAACCAAGATAAAAGCAAAATAAAGCCAGTTATGTTCCCTACCTAAATATCACCAAATAGAGCCCTCATGCATATTTCTATTTTATTTTTCTGGCCTGGAGACTTTAGGATTATTACACAGAAAGGAGAGCTTTGTGCTGAGTGGGGGTAAGAGCATCAGTGGGTAAATGCAGATGACCCCCAGGGAAACGGTGGTATTTGTCACAGTGGTTACTTCTATGAGGATGGATGTTGGTTTTGAGCAATTGGTATAACCAGGCTCCAAGACAAAAACAGAACAGCAACAACAACAGCTCTGCATGGACGCTTAGAGGAAGCTTTCTCTTTTTCCTCTCATTACATTAAATCTCCACAGGGGAGAATCCAGGGTTAACTGGAGCTCTGTCACACCACCGTAAATGGGTGATTGTGCCTAGAAACTACAGTGAGAAGACATTTGAGATGTCATGGACTTGGTATCTTTATTTCAAAATCAGATGCTGTGGCCCTCTTTTACATAATATCATCTTGTTTATGAAATTGATGGAAATGTGTCTTTAAAACACGCTTGTCTTATAATATTCCACAGAATGGCCATTTTCCCAAGGTGCTGCATTTTATTAACAGGAACTGGACACACATTTATTTCTCCCTTCAGAGTGTCACACACTACATTGGAATGGGAGGTCTAGGGCTCCTCACCAGTCACTCACTGCGTGTCTGCAGTGCTAGACCACATGGTTGGTACTACATCTGCAGGGGCGGCAGGAGACGAGGTCTGATTCTCGTGTAATTCACGATCAGCTCGGGAGAGGATGTTGGAAACGTGAAAAATCCGCTGTAGAGTCCCAAACTGTGACACGTCCTCTAAAGGAGGTGTTAGGGTGCTGAGGAAAGTATTGCTCGGCATGTCATTAGTCTGTCAGATGTCTGCAGCAGTCACCTGACTGGGGATGCAGAGAGGGACATTTAAACCGAGATGGGAGGAATCAGGAATGTGAAGAACTGAGGAGAGCTGGCGGTTAGTTATTGCTGTTGTAGGTTATTTATTTATGAAATCATGCAGAATCCAGCAACCTTTCTCAATTCCCTTATTTAAAATTATGATGCTTTTTATCACATTAAGGATTTCCATACTCAAATCTCAAAATAGAAATTACACGTCATGGAGAAATTGTAGACGTATTTCTTTCAGAATAGTAACAAATCATGACTGCCTAGGATCTCTCCTACAGTTTAAAAAGGAGACCTTGTGAATTCTTGTTCTGCCTTAGCTCTAATGTTCCCTCAAAAGCCTCATGTGCTCAGTGGTGAGGCTTCTGCGGGTTGAAGGGTCACAGTCCTGATCCAGGAACGCTCTGGTTGAATGAGCTGGGAGGTGGTGGGGTCCTCTTGGAAAAGGCAGGGAGCGTGGCCTGCAAGGCCTTCTGGTCCCCTTGCCTACTCTTTTCCTTTACTTCCTGGCTGCCTTGGGATGAGGGACTTTATTGTATCTGCCCTCCCTGCCTTGAGATCAGCTACTTGCGAAGCCATGAGCCCAAATCGTCCTCTCCTCAGTTTTGGTACCAGGGAGCTACAGCTCCTTTCTAATTTTTATTTTGAGACAGGATCTTGCTAAATTGGTCCGACTGTGCTCAAACTTGCCTCAGCCTCCAGGAATGCTGGGACAACCAACACAGTGGACCCTGTGGACTACTCCTTCATCAGGTCACAGGTGTTGGGTGTTTTGTCTCAGTGATGGGAACAATACAATGTTTTGAAAGGAGGTAGAACTTAACTATTTTCAAACAAATTGATGGCCAGTATAGAAAAACATAAAAGCAGCAGAATATAACCCTAATAAAAGATGAGGTCACTTAAACAATCAATTGTATCTTTTCTATTTATTTCTTTTTTTGTATTGGGCATTGAACTTGGGCCTTGCACTTGCCAGGCTGGCACTGTGCTGCTGAGCCACCTCCTGGCCCTACACCTATTTTCAGTGTTGGAAGATCTGGCAATCTGGGGCCTGCTTTGTTTTACGACAACTTCAGCTAGGCGTGTGCTGTGGATGCCTCCTTCCCATTTGGTCACATTTCCCACCTCTTGGTATCTTCTACCCGGGCCTCTTTTCTTACTTCTGCCAAATGACTTTGTAGACCATCTGCAGTCTCTGTGAGTAGAAATCCTCATTGCTGCTCAGTACTTGTACAGCTGTACATTTGCATTGCTACTGTTGCATTTAAAGGAAGGCAACTTATTTGAAAAATATGAGGTTTCAATGTTCAACTCTATTTTACAGTACTGTGTGATTGTTGAAAGAACTGGCAGATTTAAAGAATATGATAATATATACTGATAACATGGTGATAGTGCCTGGCTGAGTGTTACACACAGCCCTGGATGTTGAGGATCATATTCTTTTTGTAAATAAAGTCCCAATAGCAGCATACTTTGGCTCTGCATTCATGGAAGATACTTGTGACACGTTGCGCACAGCAGGTGCTTAAACAGACCTGTCTATCTTACAGCTAAATTCAGCTACTGACCTTATTGTTGCTTTTCCCATTAGCTAAGATTTATTGAGTACTTTCTACAGAGCCACCAATGGTTCCAAGCACATTTCGGGTAATATCTCATTCATTATTTTATTCCACCTTGTCTAATAGGGTAATTACTTATGTAAATTGGATAGGAAGCTTTTTGAAAGAAAGTATGGAGGTTTATTTATTGTGTACTAAACATTTTATTGCTATATAATTTTAAAGAATATTTTTTGAAGCAGAATTTTTATACATGAAGTATGTTAAAAGTGTATTGGTGAATTACCAATGTATTACTTTTTATCCATAGTTTCAGCCTGTAATTCTCCTGTGCTTTTGGAGATTGGAAGCTACATAAGAAGAGTTGATGTTATATGAAACATTATATATTTATAATTTCAGTAAGCACTGAAGGAGATAAGAATACAGTAGTAGTATCAAGTTATGAAATATTTATAGCCTATGTGGATAAGAAGACTTTGGAATATTAAGCATTTAGACACTGTTGCACGTAAGGGATAATCAAATGCCACATTTGTGTTCATTGTGGACAATAGTACAACCTTACAATATCAACTGGAAAGTAGACAGTGTTAAAATGTTTAATATTTATTTAATTAACACTGTGTAGCAAAAGCAATTATTTCAGAGTGACTATCTTGAAAATACATCTTTTTTATCATAAAAGGATATTTTGCCAGGATTTTCTGCACTTACAGGCTAGGTGTTCTCAAGCTTTCTGGTTCACCATTAGACAACTAGAATATGGCCCTGAGGTTCCTGATCCTATTCAAAACTTATGGATCATATTTAAATCCCAGTCCATAAAATTGAGACGGCATGGTCCCTGAATTTTAAAGAGAGCATTTCACTGCCGTCTCTTTGGCTATAGAGTCACTAAGAGAGACTGAGCACTAAATCTTGTTTCATTTTGTGGCGATATTTTGCTTTGTGGCTATGTTTTGCTATAAGTAGGACAATACAGTAAGACATTATACTGAAGCCTGTAGCAATCTCTGATAAAAATTCAGCATCATCTCAAATGTCTGCATTTTGATATATTGTTATGTCAACTTAACATTATCTTTTATTTCTTTAAAATGGGATCTCATTGTGTGGCTTTGAACTCCCAGGCTGAAGTGATCCCTCTGCCTGAACATTCCAAGTAGCTGAGATTACAAGCATGGGGCCCCCTGCCTGGATTTAATTCAGTATTAGTTTGAGTCTCTGTACTTTAGTATATGCTATAGAGCTGTTGATGTGCTAAAATGTATCCGACCTTTTCTTATTTAAAAGAGTCTATTCAGAAAGGCACTTGTGATTTCTTCAATATCCATTTTTGTTGTTTGAGAATTTTGCAAAGACTTCAATTTAGGGCCATATTTTAAGTAGAACTTACATTTCAGGCATGGTTTTTACTCGATTCCTTATGGAGAGATGCAATTAATCTCGCTATTTAGCAGCAAAAAATTCACATTAGACTGTAATTGCTTTCATGAAGATATTTTTTACTTTTGTTTTTCTTGCTTTTGGAAGTAATTGGTTGAAAAGTAGAGAGTACTTTACAAAATTTAAAAAGCTAACTAAAATAAAAAGACAGAGATATGCTAGTTTTGAATGCCTAAAGTATTTTTCTCTGAGATGTTGTGCTACTCATGTACTGACCTGGTAAGAGTTATTTGTCAGTGATGAAGCTACAGGGTAATGTCTAGTTCTTTTTATTGTTCCTGTCCCCAGAACTCCTTACATCAACAACATAAAACTGTTTATGTCATCTTAAGGATTAAAAAAAAGACACCATTTTTGTGTAAGTTGGAGATAGCACGTATCAATAAATTTCTTTCTTGTTTTCCTCCTTTGTCTGATGGTGACTTGCAGGAAATGGAGGATTCCAAATGTCAGAAACTCAACACATATGCACATACATATAGGCCAGAGTAATTTCCTAGATATAATCTTGTA